GTTGTTGAATGAAAAAAATGAAAAGTCTGTGGACATAAACGACAATTTAGGAATTTCAGATGACGTAGACGAGAGACCCTGTTTACGCTGCAAACGTAAAAGTACGGTATATTGCCAAGCATGTTTGGAGGCTCATTATTGTTCGAAACGTTGCTCATCTTTGCATTGGAATGCGGAACATTATAAGCAATGCAAAGGTCATGATTCAATTATATGCCTGGATGTTTAAAAATGCATATTTGCATCTTAAAATTCTTTAGAATTTGCTAGGATATTAAGCTTCTCGGACCAAAACATCCTCTATTAATTAGTATTCATTGTTACTTATGTATTTTTAAAATATAAAAGCTGTTGATATGTTATTTTTGTAACAGAACTTTTCTAAATAAAATTATGCGATTGTAGAATTCGCACTAATATATTTTACATTTCTTATTCTGTTGATGATAAAAGGAAATAGTGCAAAAAATTAAAGAGCGTAGTGATAAGTTAAATTTTCTAAAGCGTTATTTTTTTCACAACTATAACGATATATTTATGATGCACAATTGTAACTACAATCGCGCTCAACGTACAATTGTTCGATTTAAATTATGTGTGTGTATATATATATACATATATATAAGTATAATTATCATATATATGTATGTGTATAACTATAATTATATATATAGGTATGTGTGTATGTATATGTTCATATATATATATTTCATACAAATACTAATAAATCTACGTGTATATGTTCGTTATTATAGTTGCGAGAAAAATGTTAACATGGAAAATTAGATATAGGTATCTTTAATTTTTATTTTCTTACTATTATTTGTAAGTCAACACTCCTTACTTAAATGTTTCATCAATTATTTGATTTAGCTACTATAGGTAACAATAATATATATGTAGCGTATTTTGAATTTAGTAATATTAATAACTTTAACACACACACAATTATCTGAATACGCAAGTATCGACTTAATACCTTTAGGCCGGTATTCATAGTCCGTTCTTACATTTAAGATCATCTTAAGTATACTCTTAATGTGTTTTTAACCAATCACAGAGCCGTATTAGCTTCTTAAAACAACACTTAAGATGATTTTGAAATAAAAATCAACTATGAATACCGGCCTTACTGTTTATTTCATAAAAAATTAGTTGTCATTGCGTATTTATATTTTTATTCCTATATCAGATAAGATAATAAAGTGTTCCTGACTAAAGGATTATCTTATAATCTTGCCATATTTCTATAAAATGATAATGTTATATTTGTTGTGTGAGACATATCATTTAAGACGTAAGAATCTTTGTATTTTAAATAAAAAATAATAGAATTTGTGAATTGATGTCTACATATTATTCTCAAACTGTATTTTTGTAACAAATATATTCAAACAAACGTATAATTTGTTTTCTCAATCATTATAGATCTTTTCTGACGAATAGCGAATTTGATTACTTGCATTAGTGCACACTGAGTGCACACGAATGCTTGATCAGAGGTAATTCTTGTATTTATCATCTTTTTAAAATACATGTTCATAAAGTATTTGATAAAATGATTCGTACAGATACTGTATAGACCATTTTGCTGGCTAAGAATTATATTTCAAGAGGTATTTTAAACGATCCTTAAATATAAAAATGTACTGTAAACAAATCTCTAAAACAATTAGTGCTACTCAGTGCGCATTAGTGAAAGCAACCGAATTCGCTATTAGTTTGATAAAGTTAATATTAAACATTCCGGTAGAACTTTTATAAGTTATTAATTCATAAAAGCTAACAATTTTCGAGAAAAACTCAATTAAGTGATACAAAGTAAATTTTTATTAATTTCTGTTTTTCTTAATTTATTTAAGTAATACCAATATATGTACCCAGATAGCCAAATCTGCCAGAACAGATTTCGTCAAATTTTGAAGGCAAATAGACTGCAGCCTGCATACAGGAACTGATATATTCGACATGTTGCTAGCGTGTCAGCAGAAATACAACAAAATCTGCTCACATAACCGGACCTGCTCGGTTTCTGCCGACAATCTGTTGACAGTGTATGTTTTACAGACCCTAGGCTTGTGTTCTGTTGCTACAATTGTGTAAATGTTACTAGTGCAATAAATTAGAGTAAGGCTGATGGCAGAGAACGATCCGTAAACGCTTAAGACTGGCTTAGTCGTAGACGTAGGGCAAGGCAGAGAGAAACGTAAGTCGTGAAAGGCTATTGTATATGACTTACGTTTCTCTCTGCCTTGCCCTACGTCTACGACTGAGACTGTCTTAAGCGTTTACGGATTGTTCTCTGCCATCAGCCTAAGACAAGTGTATTTTTTCTTATTCTAGCTTACTGCACTAGTTCACCAATACAACAATAGAAAACAAGCCTTCTGTTGCCAAAACAAAAGCCAAATGCGGACATAGATAGCTCTGGTTTTGGTGTTTCTGATGAATATGCTACCAATCTGTTAACATTTTGCTGACTATATATTTATATACAGCATTGTAAATAATTTTATAATATAATGTATTATCATAAAATTACTCACAGTAATTAATTAATTAGAGTAGTCGGATAAGAAAATATGGTACAGAAAAAGAATATAAATGTCATCTCTATCAATTTATTGACTCAATCATTCATAAGTCAATATAACGTAGGATACATTGTAAAGAATGCTAATGCTCGCGTAATTATTATAATCTAGATAAAACCACTCTCTTACTCTTCGTAACCCTCGGGCAGAGGATTCACCTTGGGATTATGGAAGAGACTGTGGTTACCATCTCCCCATGGGAATTTCTAAAAATAATACATCACAAAGAAATAATGTAAGGTAAAAATTAATAAGAGCTAGAGGCCTTTTTGGAGACCCACATATGTTTTTTACATTTAATGTTACATGCTTGTTTGGTGCGTACCTTGGTTCTTACTCTCATATGCTCGTACGCGATGAATTCTGGACGTTCGTCGTGCTCATGTGCCTGATGATTCAAGTAACAATTAACCAGGCCCAGTCCTATTGCCGGGAAGCCTACGAAAAACGAAATCCTCTTCCACATAAGCACTGTCTGCGCTGCAAAGCACACAGTTACTGTTATGTAACGTTCATTGATAACTCATTTGACATTCTCCATACACATTTTCTACTCATCCGTACAACGTAATGTGCCATCAGAATAATATTTAAATATAAAGAGCAGCATTGGAGTCTTAATTAATAACAATTGACAAAAATGACACTGCTGCAAAAGGCAATATCGTCTAGTATTTACATGAATGTACATACCGTGATTCCCGAACGCATAAATAATACATTAAATTAATCAATACACTTCGTTCATATCCACCTGATGCATGATGACCACCAGCAGCGTCCGATGCATATTTTCGGGAAAAAACGCGACCAAATCTCATCCAATTAGACATTTTTGCTCTTTTATTCGACTCCAATTACGCGCAGCTCTAGGTCGATTTTATCTTTTTCTAAATGCATGAGAGTACTGTAGCGATACCTGTCGGAATATTCGTGAACGATAGATCCTTCTTTCCGTAAAGGCCTTCACACACGAATCAACTTAACCCTGATCCACAGCTTTAAGGGGATGCTAGAGTAATTCTGATTCGCTCATACTTGACGCCGACTGAACGTATTTTTAAATAACTCCTATATGCAATCGTTTGTATTTCGTATGTAGAAATTTGTAGTGCAATTAGAAAGGTTTGTGAGTCATTCGTTTGTTTGTAATTAATTAATTAATTATTTTTCCACCGTATACTTAGCGCCAATAGATAAATTAGATAAAGTTTTTATATGGAATCGTTGGTATTTCGTATGAAGACGTTTGTAGTGCAATTAAAAAGGTTTGTGAGTGATCCAGATAATTTTAATTAAATATTTATTAAATAGAAGTTAGCCGGATTCAAAATTTCATTGATTTCCTATCCTATGGCCCGGTTTCACCAACGCGAGTTAAGCCCGCTGCAGACGATGCTATTTTTCCTGCTGGATTGCTTGCAATTTAGTAAATTACTAGGAATCCTGAATGCTGAGTGGTGCAATGATAGTAATTTACTAAATTGCAAGCAATCCAGCAGGAAAAATAGCATCGTCTGCAGCGGGCTTTAATCTAATCGGTCGGTTAACTT